AGGGTTAATCTAGGGAAGCAGATGGAGAGGCAGACAGAAACAAAAATAGATTGATGACATCATAACTGTGATACCGGCTACATGTATCATGGCACAAGAGTAAAGGATGAAGCAAAGATTCCGATCACTCTTGTGTCGCTACAAATATCGACAAAATAGTAAGAAGTCTTCTATCTCGCTCGTCTCATATTTAACTTACATGAAACATTACATATCCAAGTATCCAACTTCCTAAAACTGACCCGACTTCAGGTACTTGACCTCTCATACTCGTATGTAATGTGGATCTGGTGGTCTGTTAGCACCATTGAGCCTGTTACCTGAGACGAAATAAACACGTTCGAATACTTATAAATATAACTAAATGCTCAGTTCGCCCGATATTTGATACATGTAAATTCAGCACTACTGATCTCTTAAGAAGAGAACGCTCAACGGAAGAGAGACTACCTGCTGTGCAGAAATTCCTTCAACCTCCCTCTCTGTGAGGGGCCAGCATATATTCCTTGATTGGTCATATCTGACATACAAACATATATGTAACATTATTTTATATGTAGAGGCATATATAAATAAGTATATGGAGCCTACATTCTAGCGGAAGGCCCACGGCCACACATTGATAGTAATTGATGATGATGACGTGAAAACCACTTCCTATTTCAGACACCAAGGTTGTGATAGTGATTTTTTCACTTGAGAGCGTGTTGACATAACAATGAATTTCAATATCTGACAGGAAAATACTGATATTTATATTCTTGATATAATTGATAAAGAAAGTGTGCATTTGACCCAAGAGTTAGAGACGTGCGTTTGGGTCGTGGGAATTTGTGCATAGAAACGACGTAATCACTCAGCTGATATCTGGTAGAAACTCAACTAAGGACAAATAGAAAAATAAAAGACACGAAAAGGCATCATTAGCGTCTTAAGTCTCCCAAGAATTGTAAAACATACCGGCATGTGTGTAATAAATAATCGATGAAAACCCTTCGTATTTATAACAGTGTTGAACAAAGTTAGATAAGATCCAACATACCCCTGTTCAGAACGATTGCAAATAAAAAATCGATACGTGTAAGACTTAAATAACATGTAGTATAAAGCATGACCTTCATCGAAACCTTACAATTTCACAAGAGCGTGCCATGACAAAATTTCTTTTTCCATTTGTTTATCTTGATACGTTAATAAATACCTATCGGATACAGACGCAGTATATTTCTTCTGACAGCCAAGTTGGTCACTGATTCGTACAAAATTACAATGCACTAAGAGAGCGCAGATCTTAGACAATAATCAACTAATAATTAACCATTAATTCATTGATCATATATTGATTGAATATATATATATGTTTGTATAATGTTGCTTTCTCGCTAACTACCAAACAAACGGAGCTAAAAAAACTGCCACCTTGGCGGTGTTAGTGTAATTGTCAATATTAATCAAATCTGCATCCAGCGTCACTCTCACAGTCACTTTAATTTATTATTCGGCAACCTCACCTGACATAAATCTCTCCCCTTTTTCCTAGGAGTTCAACACAAATTAAATTTATTTTTCGCTTTTTTTGCTCAGATGATTGAAAACAGATTCCTTTCTTTTCTGGTCTGATGGTCACTGTCTACTGGCAGAAGGAGATTTCATTAGGAGTTATCGTCACGACAGCAATGAATGGTGTTCCCTAGCTGTTAGACTATAGACATTCCAAATTCTGGACATTTGCTTATTCGACTTTCATCTACCCGACATCTACTTATTAAAGAACGATATGGAATATTCCTTGGGCCTGCTTCACTTCAGATTTTTATTTATTCAGTTAACTCTATTGTACATGTCATTCTGCTTTTATAAACGATAAGTACTGGCCTCGGGTGGAATTGGAGATAACGCTATGTCAACAACTACCATGTCATTAAGCATAACGTTTGTCTGATTAATTCAACACGTTATATTGACAGTTCTCTTAACAGTCTTTTCAGCTGGTAGCGTCTGTCAAGAGTGGCTGAATATTGTGCGTCTGTGCACTGAAGTCAGCCCATTGTACTCAGCTTAAGGACCTGCTTGCAAAACGGCTGATTTGACTGAATTTTCTCTTGATTTTTAACGTTATTTCAGCTTGGTTTGTGATCTCTAGACTCTCGACAAGTATTTTTACGTTCACGCTATGGAATAGCGGTTCAAGTCATTATATATCAATTAGCCCGGCCGGCTAGAAACCACAAACGAGATTTTTAAGTTTATAAGGCCTGTACTGTACAAAATGTCGAATGTAGAGAGGGTAACATTTTCCACGGTTAGTGAAACACTGATATCCTCTGGAGGGGTTATTGTCTTCCAGTGGCCCGACTGGGTTTTTAAAATATTGGTCGAAGATGGTAGCAAATGATGCCAGTCATTCTAACCACTGGATAACGTAATTATATCTAGCACTGCTGAAACTGCGCCCTGTCCATTAGCACATGCGGTTATTCATACTGGAAATGAACGTGACGTCACTGCAACCGAGATAGAGATTAAGCCTCCTCTAGCGGGTCTTGGATATTGTAATGACGCCAGCCTATAGTGTGTTCTGCACAGCCTGGCACTATTATTATCGCTGATTTTTACCATAATAATATGAAGTCTATCTTATCCTTCTCTAAAATCCACCACAATGAATCAAAAATTTGCTTAAGTTAATCCCTTACTTTATCTTTAATTAACATATTCAAATGTCAAATCCTACTGAGCTGAATATTATCGTTATCGAACTTTCGCTCCATTACGCCCATAACCCAGTCTCAACTGCATCCCGCAAAGTTGCGTTATATCCCTTCGTAATAACAATTTCGTGTGGTACCCGTAATATTTTTTAACGACCTCAACATATGGCCTATCCTTTCAAAAATGAGTTGTCTAATCTTTTTCAACACTGTCATCTTATTTACTATGCATATAGTAAATCGTTATACGAAAACTTGTTTTTTGTTTATCTAGCCATATTTTACTTCTCCGCAATTCCAGTATATAAATGTCTGCTCACTCTCGGTATAATTCACGTTGTACTGTGCTCATGTTTTCATGGCAACACTTTATGAATTATAAACACCGGACCCCCACAGGGATGTGTTATCTCCTTGCCTTTTCTTCTTTTTACCCTTGACTGTGTAACAAATGCCCAAGATACCCTGTTGATGAAGTCTGCGGACGATACCAAGCTAGTTGGTCTTATAAGCGAGAATGATGAGGGTAGCTATGACTCAGTAATGGAGTGGTGTGATGCAAACGACTTGGTTTCACGAAACAATACAGTTAGATGTGGAGAAAGAACGAAAGTATCAATTCAACAATGTTCATTAAAAATACCGAGATACAAAAGGTTGGATGAGTTAAAGATTTTAGGGGTCTACATGATCACATAATTAAAGTGACACATAAATTCTGAAAAGATAGCTTAAGTGGCAAGGAAGAGGATTTAGAAAGTTAAAGGATTAATGAATGACCATCTATTGACAGCATCTATGTTGAGAGAATGAAGAAGAGATGTGCACACATGATGAGTGACTTTATCGTTACCTTGTTTACATTTTTACCAAGTCACAACAGTCTTTTAAACTTTTAATGGCAGTAAGAGATTTTTATAAGTGATTTTTAATGTTGTATTGTTCTAAATTGACAAACTTTTTAAGTTCAAAAATGGAAACAATTGCTGTGTTCGCAAAGATGTGCACAAGGGAGTTCATTATACACCCTGTAGCATTAGTAATATTTTTGTAAAATTTATTTTTTGTACTGCAATTCACTAATGAACTAAGAAAATGTTATGTGATATACTACAGTGCACATTGCTGACTGTATAGTGTACACAATGTTTGACTTGTATCTCAATAACTTCGACAGCTTCAATGAATATTAAGTAATGAGACAAAACATTAAGTTAATGCGTGGACAGATTATACAACTGCTTATGGCGCCGTAGTGTGTTTCTTTGTATTTGACTGTACTTTGTAAATACTAATTTAAAATTATTATAATATACCGGTAGCAATTAAAGGCTGGATGTTATAAATAGGCTTGTCTGAACATGACACAACCCTATAAGGCAACAGAACTTTGTGCTGGATTAATATTGAAAGTAATGATGGTCATTTGGTCACTGACTTCAGTTCAAAACTAGTATCGGTTTTTATGGTTTGATTTGCACACCTGAATTGACGTTAACTTTGTGGTCATAAAATGCACACCAAATATTGGCATTTTAAACAAAGCTGATGCCACATGTTCAATTACTGTTACAAGTTACACAATGTCTGATGATCGGTTTTGAATGCAAAAATCGTCCCTATTCAGTTGTGTTTATCTTTATTTAATTTCCACTTGGATGACTTGTGGTAAATTTTTGCACTAAAATCGAATTATGATATTCAATAATGTATCGCATGGCGGAAACCCACAGTCTTCACGGCGGACATTCAAACTTGAAAATTATACAACAGTACTTTACGAATAATGCAACTTTGTATTGTAAAAGAAAGAAATTGGTCCTTCCCTGATACAATCTAGGGTACAAGTAATATTTTTATCACCATATGTTCTAAAAGATGTTTGAGTTATATATTTATATGCGGAACATATCACCTCAGCGAACCTCAGTATCTGGGTTGCAATGCTCACTTTTATGAACACCAGACGGCACCTGATAACCAATAAAAGACAGTTGCCCTTGTTTAATGATCATTGTGTCCCAGCCAAGGACTTAATATTAACTCAATTGGAAGAAAACGCATATTTAACAACAAATACAGTCATAAAAATAATGACCACTGCTATATATATTTGGTCGGGAATGGTCACACAACAATCACCCATGTCGTTCTTAATGTTTCCTTAACCTTAGCAAGATAAATATTCTATTAACTCTTTAGTGATTAAAATCGCTATGCCCAGTTAAATGCAGGTATTATGGAATCAATTCACAATCCTATGTTTGCAGTCCCCAGTCATCAACTTACCTGAATAGGAAGACCAATGTGAACTCGCCAGGCTGACCACACCAAGAACAATGGCGATGATACCACAAAATATCCCAGTGTAACGGCTAATGACGAAACACCGCTGCTCCCAAAACGAAAGTAAACGATTCCAATCGAACATAGACATTTTCACCTCCGTCCAGTCATGCTTTTGCCGAATTCTGGAAACTGTGGCCGCACCTCCGCCGCGCCCCGCTCGTGGAGTACCCAGTCGCCCGTGAGCTGCCTCCATCTGTAAATCAGCGTCGTCAGACATGTATTTTTCCTCTAACTCGGGACTTATGTTAATGAATTTAATGCTTTCCTTACGGGCTTTACGCACCGGGGTAGGAGTGCGGCTACGTTCTTCCTGGGCAAGACGTTCCTCTATGAGCTGTTGACGCCTTTTAAAAGACGCTCGTCTCGCCTCGGACCAAGCCATCCACGCGGATTTGGTATTTATTTTACTCCGTACGGAACTTCGCCTTGAAGATGTGCTCGACCGCGGCGCGCCCTGTTGAGCTAAAAACACGTCATATTCTTCATCATCGAGCATGGTGTCGTCGTCCCGTGGGCTACTGTTGCTGTTTTTATTTATGAAATTCATAGTGGAAGGAAATTTATTTCCTTCCCCTTCCTGGTTGGTTCCTTTAAATATGTTTCCGTTGTATTGAGATTCGTTTATCTGTCCCCCTGCGTCCAAATCTCTCATCTCGATGAACTCGGCTGCTACTCGCGTTGTTTTTTTCTTCGCTGCCTCTCGCTTACTGTTTTCGAGATCCACGGCCTTGTCCACAGGGCGGTAACATGGAGCAGGGAACCCGAGTTGGCTTGCTGCGCTGGGTGCTAGACTAAGGTCTTCCAAAGATCCAGCGGAGGGGCCTTCAAGGACATCGCCGAAACTCCCAAATCCGCTCGTCTCGGCAGAGCTCTGAGCATGAGTTGCATGTAAGCTACTCGACTTTCCCGCATCTGTGTCACGCAACATTAAGCATTCGAGGCCTCTTTGTCCGGGGTTACGTTGGCGTTCTTGCTGCGGCTGGGTTTCCCCTGTGGCATACGATGTTCTGGGGGCTTCTAGTGCCCGTCGTTTATTTCTAATTTTGCTTATATCCTCTTTTTTATGCTTATGACGCCGTAGTATGGACTGTGGTAATGAAGACCGAGTTGCAGAGCTGTTCTCCGACGCACTACGATGTATGAGCGCACTGCTGTTAATGTTGCTGGTACCGGCAAAAGACTGATCTGTTATATACGGGATCCCCGTCCAACTCCGCTTCCGAGGCGAATCTGTCGTTATCTGGAACTGTACAGCGGGAAGTCTATCTAGGCCATCGATCGCTTTCAGCAATGAAACGGGAGAGAAGAGCTCTGCTCTGGTTGTGTCGGTGGAGATGATGAGGTGCTCGCCTCCATCGCGAGCGGCTGTGTCGCGTATACCAGTGGGAGACTGCCGCCTTGTTTGTTCAGCCGCTACAGTGACAACGGTTCTAACGTGGCTTCTGGCCGCTAATACTTCACCACTGCCCCTTCGCTGCCGTTCTCTAATATGATCCATTGTATATTGACTTGTCAAGCAGGTGTACCGTTGAACGCTTGTTGAATCTAAAGGCAACCTGGCTATATCGATGTTTACTGTATACTTATGAACGTTATATCCTTTTTTCCTTTTGGAAGACTAGTATACAATAGTAAACATCGTTTTACGTGGTTTTCAATGCAACAAATAAGACAATCGTGTCTGGTTCACCGTCTTCAAAACGTCTACAGACCCGCGTTCATTACGTTTTTTTTCCAATAAAGCACCATCTTACGTTACATTTCTAACTATTATCTGATTTTACACTTCTTTCATATGGGAGGACGCTTGTGTACGGTATTTATTGCTTGGGGACTGTTGTACGGACGGTAATATTAGTGCTTGTGGACGGTAGTGGTCGGTTGTGCTCGGTTGTAGACGGTAATTAGGTACACCGAGTACATGTAAATTCGCCTATTTTCGTTTCGAACGATAAGAAAAGCTACGCGAACGCCAAAGTACGCTTGCGAAAAGTCTTAGCGACAGGGTCCGACCTGTACCAAATATCTTGCGCAAATAGCGCAATATTTTGCGCAAAATTACATTGCGAAACGTTCGTGAAAGGGTCTGTTCGCAAAAAGGGACTTTGCGCAATTGCGCAAACTGCGAAACGTTTCGTGAAAGCCGGCCCAGGACCTCAGCAAGTTGAAATGAATTAAAACGCCCAGTCAGTTATTCAGCAATGCTTGGTAACTATTCCTACGTTATATGTTCCCCTTCAATGAGACTAGGTGTTTGTTTTCAGATACATGTGTGTTTTAGATCTTTTTGTTACACTACAGTTTCATTTGCTAAGATACTAGTAAATGGTTTTATACCTCCACTTGTTGTGTCAGCTAAGCAATCGTATGAGGCCCACATGTGAGAGTTCACGAGTCGATAAATATTCCAGTACTTGTATTGTACGATGTACCTCGCTTTCCCCACTGTATGTGCTGTCCATCCCGTCTGTTTTGTGCAATGTTGTGAACACTTCCCTTCATTATGCCAATATGCACTTTCTGTGATCGGTAATTGTAATTATAAACGCCGCCAATCATCACGACGTCTTACCTTGGCTGTGTCAAAAAGTAATTAAAGTCATTTGTTTGTAAAAAGTCATTTGTAAACAAAGTTCAACTCTAAATCCTGTTCGTCGCACTGGGTTTCCGTTTTTGTTTCCGACTTGGGCCATAATATAATCTTCGTCAGACTCACACTCAGATTTTTTTCAAAATTTAATTGCATGATAGAGTAAGTATTAAGATAAGTATTAAGAATTTGATTGTATGGCATCGGAGTGTTTTAGGTACTTTATGAGTACAAGTATCCAGTCATGTGCTTTGCCAACTAGGATATTTATATTTCTTTCAATCTTAACATTTATCATTGGTATTTCCCTACGTGTTCTTTTGAAGACAGATGAAGTAACCACCTCTTGATAAAACACTTTAACAATACTACGTAGAGTGTTTAAAACGTTCTTTTCTATTAAAGACCTTGAATATGTGCTAGTTAATAATAATATTCAAGAAGCGTATAGTAGAAATGCATTCAAACCGTGTGAATGAACCTACCACCACTGCGTTTCTCAAGGGATATTCAACCCACAGCCATGTATACATGCACAACGTCATCTGATGAGATAGTTAGCCGTTGTCGACCAAGGGATGCTGGCGTGCTCCTCCTGAAGTTCCTCGCTCTCCGGAAACACTACACAGTCGTCTCCATCTGTTGACATCTTATTTTTGTTGACGTAAATCCTGAAAATGACGCGTTTCTGTGCCTGGTATCTGTCGTTATCAGCGCCCGTATTACAAGAAAGTGCAACCAGCACAGAGGTATGTTTATTAGAATGTGAATGCCTTTAACAGCGTCATGGCTATCAGATAATGCATAACGCCATGTTTTTCCACAATGGTAGGGTTCAACTTTTATCATGTTAACCAAAGTGAAACACCGTTTTAAGCATTCTGCTGATGTAAAATAGAGCCAGATGTGAAATACGAAATAAATCATTATTCACAATTGTTACTTCATATTTCTAGAGGCGGGCAAAATGAATGTGAAGACGAATTCATTTTGTAAATGCACACCGCGGTGTTTTTCCCTTCCTTATCATAATCATATATACTGCAAGAAAGTTCAGTAGAATTGTTTTCATTCTTTCACGCACATTGATACCTGTAAATTTAACGTATACGGAAGGGATGCTGTCGAGGTGCATAGCTAATAAGCTAAGGAACCTTGGTCCACCCTTTTTCTAATGCTTCCAATATGATGTCAGAAGAAGATGCAATTAAGTTACGGATATCTTCGACCAACATTTATTCCGCATATATTACAAGTACATCTGAAGCCTTATCTAATGACAGACAAGTGGTACAGAGTCGTTAAAGTCGCTGACAAAATATGCTGTAGATAAAGATTTTCAAAAAGGCTGTCGGTGGCATGCTTTAAAAGAAGTCATGTGCGTTTCTACTTGATCTCTGAGTCTTGTAAGCTGAATTTAAATAGCTAAAAGCGAACGGCGGTCCACTTGCCTCGATGTTTCACGTATTTCGCGTGTGCTGTTTTTCGTCAGCTAGTCAGAATGACATAAGCAATAGTCAGCTCTATCCACTTTTACCCTCACTGCTGTATTAGTAAACCATCTGCCAAGAACGGAACGTCATAAGATGATTTTTAAAAATTACTTTTTCAACACTTTTAGTTCCAGAAGACATTGCCTTGTGAGCTTCCAACAAAACGATTGGAACAAAACGTATGATGCAACGTGTATCGAACTTCGCCCAACACAGATCTCTTGCGATGTAACAGTTGTCTTGGTTCGTTCACATTTATTATTCATCGCAAAGTTATTCCTGTTTAACGGCCACACTTACCCTGCCGTTAATGTGGTGTCTCTCCGTGTAGTCTGCTTTTCCAGTCTCTTTTACAGACGTGCTAATTCAGTTTTTCCTCCCTTAACTTGCAGATACGGCGCAAGATAACTTTTACTTTTAGTTGCAATAACGCAAACTTCTCACTGATACTGTTCTTTGTGAATATTAAAAGCCCTACACCCAAAAGGTGAAAACGAAACACCCTTTCGCATTCAAATCCAGTTAAAATATTTTTGTTTCCTCTGTCATGAAAAGAAAGCAAATAAATGAAAAAGCCAAGCTATCTTAAGAGGCGGCAACTGATCCAATATACTGCAATTAGCATTCACAATGAACTATCGGTCTACGTAGGGCTAATTTACAATGAACTATCGGTCTACGTAGGGCTAATTTACTATGAACTATCGGTCTACGTAGGGCTAATTTACTATGAACTATCGGTCTACGTAGGGCTAATTTACTATGAACTATCGGTCTACGTAGGGCTAATTTACTATGAACTAACGGTCTACGTAGGGCTAATTTACTATGAACTATCGGTCTACGTAGGGCTAATCGGTGGACTTGGGGTGACAGTGAAATGGTTAAACTTGTTTTTGGTCTTCTTCCCTCCCACGGTTGATGGTTTAACTTAGAGTGATTTATTTGCATGAACTTGAAATTGAGCGTTTCCTTATTCAGTCCACATTGGTGCTACAAATCGTAGGAAGCTAAACCGACAACGTCTCTATCTTCAAGGAAGCCCCACGCAAGTCGTGCGGCAGCTCTATTTAGACTGAAAGAGCTGTGTACAATCACTTTTCTTTACGACTTTACTGACTTTTCTTTACGACACTTCAAGTTTATTTTGGAGCAATGGCTCGCTCGTTGACGAAAAATAAATAAATAAATCGCACGAAAATCGTATACGATTTCATCAGCGCTCCTGGCAAATGTAATGTAAGCTTTTTCATTAATTCTTTCAAAGAATTACAAAGTCTCAAAAGCAAGAAGTTTTGAAAACATTTTTAAAGCGCCAATCATTTTTCTAAGGAATCTCAGAGACATCTGTCGAACAATTTTTATTACCAGAAGACGTCATGAAAAGACTAGTAGTTGACTGAGAAAACTCGTCGAAGTAACTTTCGCATACATGCACTGGGAATGTTTCAGAAAAAAAACGTCATCAAAATCAATTTGAATTCTCTCCATCTGAGTCCAGTCTGAGCACTGCCTATGGCGCTAGCCAAAGTTCCCCGAGGAATCCAAATTTTCACCCATACAGTGTGCTGTCATTGACGTTGCATTTGTTAATGTCGTTAAGCAGGAAATAATATAACTAGCAGGCGTGTCTTATTATATTTCAGGGGGTCTCAAAAGAGTTGAGTTACCTCTGTAATCGTATATGTACAGATCTTAAAGTAATTGATTGTGCAAACCTGCCATATGGTCTCCCTCTATGGTTCATGATGGCGAAACAGAATGAACATGTGTTCAATACATTAAATCTACAGTGTTTTGAAGGGTGCATGCACAGATCGTAGCCAGGAATTTATAAAGAGAAACTTTAAATGCAAAAATATGAACATTCGCCACAATTACCTAGCGATTGGAGACCTTTAGATAAAGTTTAGGTTATAAATAATTTCACTGTAAAGCTGTGTTTCTTTGCTGTAATGGAAATTAAAAAATGCTTATCCTAAACAGAAAGTTGTTGTTGATAGGTGTTTAAATCTGACTGGAGTCAGTGTCAAATGAGTGCGTGAAATAATAATATTTCATTTCTTTATATGCGTCTCAGCGCTGTTTACATACATATAAAAAACTTAAACAACACTGATAAATTCAAAACTTATAGAAAAGTTATTTTTATAAAAAAACTAAAGGATACAAGTTAACCAAAGTCCTTTTTAATTGAGAACATTTTAATTGTTTTAAAAAACCTAATAAGAGTCATGTAAATACAAAATTCATTTGTTAATAAAATTCTACCAGTGAAATTGGTGCAGTAATCGCAAACTCCTGTCACCCGATATCTTTTTTGTATCATTTCTTGAAATTGACTACTGGATGGAAGAGTCCTAATGGGAGCTGAGGGTTCTATCATATTGTTCATGCCAAGTGCCTCTTTTTATT